TCCGTGAGTCGCGAACTGTCACAGGTATCTACTTTTTGTACTTGCTAAAAGAATCGTGGCATCTTGGGACGAGGATAGTACTCGTACTGGGCGGTAGCCCATGATTATATCGCACTGATTCACGGTTGACATCTAGACTAGGATTAATCGGGCAAGCAAGTACCACTTCGTAGAGCTTTGTTGAAACAATCGATGACTTTCCGACTAATATTATCCAATCAAAAGAATAAAAAGAACTATCGATGGTTCCCCGAGAGTTAACATGGCAAGTGGCTTAGCATCTTAGGGCTCTCGTTCCACTCTTACTCCTCTCCCGGATATAATCCTCGCTTCCTTTTCTCTGAGGTTGTTGCCTCCTGTCCACTCCCCCCCCNCCACCGTCCCCACAAACACGTAATGCTTTACTGATTTCCATAAACGAGTTGTCTTCAAACGTACCTAGCATAGTATTCTCAAATGTGGGAATAAGGATGGCAAACTTGTCCCACACTAGAACGCCAAACGGCTCTTCAGCTAGCTTTCATGCAAGGCCTGGTTTTATTTACTGAACGTTTTGAAGGAGAAATCTTTGCACGTTGTCCTTCGGTAGGATTTTCAAATGAAAAGTTCAAATGAAGCCTGATGATGCCGTGGATCGGCAAATGCTTGCATTTTTAAGGCTTTTAAACATCAATTTTAACAGTAGTTTCGGGTCCATTTGAACTTTTGTCAGTATTGTTGTTTGAAAGAGTGCTTCACTTCAGCCATGACTTTTTTTTAAAACAAAAAAAAAGCAAATGACACATTTAAATAAACTTTTTCAGGTGCAAAGCATATTAAGAAACCCGATTGGCTGTAATAAAACAACGTTTACCCGCCCAGTTCTTTTCTTTTTTGTCTTGCTGTTTTTAACACTAACGTGCTGACGTCATCAATATATTAATAATAGAGAACTTCAGGAGAACTTAAGTAATGACGACGGCGAGCTTGAGGACAACGCCTGGCAAAAAAAAAAATTATATTTTATCTTGGAATTTGATCCGTTCAGTGCGCCTACTGGTCTCAGAACTTGCTCAAGCTAAACATGTAGCGCCAGCGTTCAATTCCAAATGAAAAAAAAAAATTAGCTCTCGCCGTTCGCGTTCTCCAAAATACGCAAAACTTTGTCATTTCACGTTTTTATCGTGCAGAGGACGTCAATGTAATGTACAAAGATTTATAACGCACGTGCACAACCACTGTTTTACTCATTTGAAAAAAAAAAGTTTGTTTGGTGGCGTTCTCGTTACCGTCGTGGTTCACTTAAGCTTTCTCTTTCCGATAACCAACGGACCCCGATGAAAAGAAACAAAATGGATCGAAATAAATCCACCAATCACATACCACAGGTGTGACCTTTACAACCCGTAGAAGTAAACACAAGCAAGCGGTTTTCTTTGATATTCATTTTATTGCAAGCAAAAACTCTGTGTGTTGCGCCAGGCAGTTTCATTCCCCACGGCATTTATAAAGTTTACGTGTTTTAGTCCTGAACAGGAACGAACCCAAGTCTGATGATTAGGCGTACTCTGTCTTTCCTTCCTCCATCTCAACACATGATCATCCCTTTGAAGTAGGAACAAATTCCGAGGATGATCAGTCGGTACTCGGTAATAGCTCGGTACTTGACGACTCGGTGGAATCGGGATCAGAACTTTGTCGGTAGCTAGTCCGCGAGCGACCAGAAGGATTCTCGGTTTTTGAGGCCAGATTCTCCCTGTAAGGATCTTTAGTTGAGCCACATTCCTCAGTGTGATAATGCTGTGAATAGTTCCAAGCCTGCCCGAAATCATAACCGCTATAGCCTGTGAAGCAATCATAATTATTCCAATCTGTTACCGAAGTGTCCGCGGCGTTCTCATTGCCACTGTACTCATCTGTGCCAGTTTTTTGGTACGAGTTTGTCTTACTGCTTTCCGTTTCATTGGCATGAATCGCCTCTCCTTTCTTGAGCGCCTCGTCCAATCTTGTGCAGTCCGTGTACACATTCTGGAGAACCTCCGCCTAAAGTGAAGAAATAAACCCCGAAACATTCAGTAAATAGAATCCCAGGGACACCGCCTTTGTGGAAATATGCTGAAACATGACAAACGTGGGCAAAACATACATGTAGACTTCGGAGACTAGTTGGGCCGGAGCGCGCAGTAAAACTTCAGATTCTGTAATGCATTCATGATCCTGGATGTGGAACATTCAAAGTCGGCAGATGGACAACAGAAAAAGTGAGTTCAGTTGACAGTCTGAGCGTTTCACAAATTAAATTTAGAAAAAAGCATTTCACAGGATTTCCATACAATCGCTGTATTTCACTTATCTTTGCCAGAGTTTCAAAACAGCGCATTTACCTTTTTGATTGACGAAAAAAGCGGCAGAAATGTCACAACCCATAAATAGCTGTTATTGCAGTTGAGTCTGCGGTCAAAAATTCTTTTGTTTTAAAAGGCATGCAAACGAGGAGAAAGGATTTAATACAATTTGCAGAATAGGCCACTTTCGATATATTAAAATTCAGCTTGACAGCGAGGCCTAGAGGACACAAACAAAAGAAATGAATAAACATGGTCATTCAATTTCCGTTGTTTGTGTCCTCTAAGCCTCACTGCCAAGCTGAATTTTAATATATCGAAAGTGGTCTATTGACCCTTTCACCTCGTTTGTGTGTCAAGCCGCTGATAACTGCAATAACAGCTATTAGTATCACCCAACTAGTGGACTAATGCAAATCCTGCATTTTAATTGGCTACGCTACTAGAGGACTATTAGTAATAGTCCTCGAGTAGCNCAACTATTGCTTCAGGAATGTAAGTAGATTACAACCTCTAATAAGTGTAGTACTATTTCAGAGGTACATGTATTGTTTTGGGAAACGTTTTGAATGGGCAAAGGCCAGCAAATTATTGAGATCTAATCTCTTGTTACTTTATTTGTCAATACAATGTTAAGCACACAGGTAATGAGAATAAAGAAACTCATCAGGTGGTGGATGACAACTTAATGAACCATCCTCAAGTCAAATACATGTAGGCAAACTCTTAGACCAGACAGGAGACATCTCTCAAGATTGGGTTGACCAAAATCCAATATTGTTACGCAGAAAAGAAATCTGTTCACCTCTTTCCTTGATTTTGGATTAGGGTCATCAAAAGCCCATCTGACGTTGAGCAACTCTCTGTTGTCCAACTTTTGGTCTGACATTGCAATCTTGACGGAACAAAATAATGTTAGCAGCACAGTACTGATTAAGAACACTCACTTGGAAAACTGACATAATTTTATAAATCTATTTTTGTGGTAAAACACCATACGTTTTCAAGAAAACAGAAATGAGCATGACATGAATCTTTAAAATTTGCAATCAAATAATACTGATGTGGTTGTGATAAACCCTCTTCACCTTACCTTTGCAAATTCAGCATTCACTCTATTCTTGTAGCGTACAAAAGCTATGTTGCGTTTTGGTATTATTCTTATATCCTGGAAAAATCATAATAAGCCAAAATAATAATTAAAAACAACAGATTTCAATTGTGATGTGGCTAATGTGTGTTGCTCTTGACTTGAAAAAGCACCAACAAGCTCAGGTTATCACTCACTTATCAACTGAAATGGGTGTGTGTGGAAATTTGACATGACATAGTCTAAAAGCATCCATTCAGATAACTTTAAAAGGGATCTATATGTCAATAGTTTGATTCATCAGTATAATCCTGAGTATCTTGTTTGGTCATTTCTGACAACTTTCTCAAATTATATTGACTTTCAATTTTTAGAAGATATGATACAAAAATATGATTTTATCCTCATAGTGCCGAGAGTCAAGCCAAGAGCCACTAATCTCACACCCTCAAGAGTTCATTTCCTGTTACAATGTCTATTTAAAACATTCTCACAAATAAGATGTTTACCTCAATTTCACCCCACTCGCCAAATTCAATCCAGAGTAGTTTTTCCAGTGTTGATCGATTACCCAGCCCTCCAACATAAAGAGTTCTGCATTCTTTGTCAAAAGTTCCAATTCCTCCCATGTCATCCTTGTGTAGACGGTGACGTTCTCGGCCAAAAACATCATGAGCAAGGTCAATTCTTAAGAAGAATAACCAAAAGAGAGTACATGTGACTCCCGCGACATGAACAATATTGCTACATTACAGGCAAGCTTTATAACTACTGTTTCAATCTATTGCTACATGTACCTTGCTTTGACTTCTGTCTATTGAATAAAAATACTTAACTTTACTTTAGAACCACATAGAACTGACAAATGAATGAATGCTTACTGACCTTTTTTCATCTTTATCAGTCGGTATTACATGTAAATATCCACATTCAGACCCCAAATGGCAACAGCCTCTGGCAAAGTAGATGCAGTAATAATGTTTGTTTCCACCAGGGTCATAAATGTTAGCCTTGGTAAACCCTGCATCTGTTTCAATGTAGCACTTTGTCTCTGAAGGTCCTGCAAGGAAAATTTGCCTCTGTAATTAATATTGGTGTGTCTTCACTCCCATCATCTGCCTTTAGGTATCCAGTAACAATTTTACTCTTGCATGGCTACATTTGGAGGTTTTCTATATTTTTGTTGTTGTAACAGTCGTGTCCATTAAGAGGTGAGTAGTGTAAACTGAAGATTGTGAGACCATTATTTGCCATTCTTTAATTTTATTTTGTGTTCTGAGAGAACAACAGAGGAATATAATGATCTGCATTCTGCATTTTACACTATTAGATTGGAACATATATTTAAGGCGACTTTTCACATGACTGACCGTGGTCTTTATTCTCCCACCAGTGTTCTCCCACCCAGCGATCGTACCATATGTTGTATTCCGTGGTCCCCTCAGGAATCCAGTGCAACTTTTCTCTTTCCTCGGGATCTATTTGTCTGCGAGCTGGTCGAGTGAGAAGTCTCTTAACCTTAGCTTCCACATCAGCAGCAGATCGTTTGAAGTTCTCTTCCTCATTAAAATCGCTGGTATTTACTGATTCATTATGAGACCCATGATTAAATTGGTTTGCAGGAATGAACAATGGATGAATGGAATCCCATTCAGCTGGTTTTTCCCACTGTGTTCGATAATCGCTGACATTTTGATAATAGTAGAGTCCGCTGTTCCAGTCATATAAAGCTATCCATGGGCCACGCTGCTCGTACCATTGTGAGCTATAGCCAGCCTGTGTACTGTAATTAGTCGTTACTTCATGTGTGGTTGTAGTTTCATGTCTCTTGTGTTGTATATTTGACGAATTTCTATCGCTATCATCCGTGTTCTCGAGCTTTCGTTTAGCGGCCATTTTGAATTTTTAGGTAAAAAACCGCCGGTCGCATTCTTGCAGCTTCTCGTCCCATGCCCAGACCTTGCAGACCGCAGAGCCTTGGCACGAGATTCTTGTCTAAGATTTTAACGAATTCATGATCATTTTCCTTCCCGAAAAATATCCACTGGTCAGGGGCAGGAGGGAGAAGAAACAATCCTAGTCGTTGAAACCGGGATAAGTGGTATTCAGGAGGGTACTGCAACAGTTAAAACTCAAT